TAATGCAGACGGGCTAACGTCAGCCCTGGCCACTGCAGACGGGCTAACGTTAGCCCTGGCTAATGCAGACGGGCTAACGTTTGCCCAGGCTAATGCAGACGGGCTAACATTAGCCCTGGCTAATGCAGACGGGCTAACGTTTGCCCAGGCTAATGCAGACGGGCTAACGTTAGCCCTGGCCGCTGCAGACGAGCTAACGTTAGCCCTGGCTAATGCAGACGGGCTAACGTTAGCCCTGGCTAATGCAGACGGGCTAACGTTAGCCCTGGCTAATGCAGACGGGCTAATGTTTGCCCAGGCTAATGCAGACGGGCTAACGTTAGCCCTGGCCGCTGCAGACGAGCTAACGTTAGCCCTGGCTAATGCAGACGGGCTAATGTTAGCCCTGGCTAATGCAGACGGGCTAACGTTAGCCCTGGCTAATGCAGACGGGCTAACGTTAGCCCTGGCTAATGCAGACGGGCTAACGTTAGCCCTGGCTAATGCAGACGGGCTAACGTTAGCCCTGGCTAATGCAGACGGGCTAACGTTAGCCCTGGCTAATGCAGACGGGCTAATGTTTGCCCAGGCTAATGCAGACGGGCTAACGTTAGCCCTGGCCGCTGCAGACGAGCTAACGTTAGCCCTGGCTAATGCAGACGGGCTAACGTTAGCCCTGGCTAATGCAGACAGGCTAACGTTAGCCCTGGCTAATGCAGACGGGCTAACGTTAGCCCTGGCTAATGCAGACGGGCTAACGTTAGCCCAGGCTGCTGCAGATGGGCTAACGTTAGCCCAGGCTGCTGCAGACGGGCTAACGTTAGCCCTGGCTAATGCAGACGGGCTAACGTTAGCCCTGGCTAATGCAGACGGGCTAACGTTAGCCCAGGCTGCTGCAGACGGGCTAATGTTAGCCCTGGCTAATGCAGACGGGCTAACGTTAGCTCGCCTCAAATGATCTTAAAACACTGAAAGGATAGAACATCTAGAAACTCGTCATCATTTTAGCCTTGTTTTCTATTCCTCCCCCTCTTCCTCACCCTCCTCTTCCTCCTCCCCCTCCTCTTCCTCCCCCTCCTCCTCCTCTTCCTCATCTTCCTCCTGCTTATTTATTCTTCCTGCTCTAATTTTTTCCTCAACCATTGAAACTGACTGGATGAGGATCTGCAGGAGAAGCAGGAAGTTTTCCTTCTACTGAAGGTTCAGGAGGAAAATCAGAGGAGGGATGGATTCTGCTGATTGATGAAGAGGCTTCAGAACCTCGCTGCCGGGTTGTGATGTGAACGCTCTAATCAGCTGGGCGGTGAAGACGCTCCATCCCTGCAGACCCTCAGCTGAGCGTCGCTCTGATCAAAGGCACAGCTGAAAGCCCCCCTCCCCTCCCTGTTTCCGTGCCAACCATTGTCCAGCAGCGGGGAGCGTCTGAAAGAGACGATGATGTCATCCTGCTGGAATGTTTCCTGGAGCAACACCTTTTCAAAAGCTGCAACCCGACTCCAGACCGACCCGGAGCCCAGAGGCCAGGAGGTGAAACCTGAACCAGCGGATCAGAACTTCTCCCTGGGAACTCCAGGATCAGACGGACTCCCTCAGTCGTTCTGCTGAGGAACGGAAAGCTGCAGCTTCCTGCGTTCATCTGGTAAAGGGTTCTGGTTGCTCCTGGTTGTGTTCTGGGTCTAATCTGCTGCCTTTCATCCAGTTTCAAGGTCCAAAACATCAAACTGGACCAGAGAGCAGTTAGAGACTCTGACCCAGTTTCTCCTTCAGACCAGCCACTGGTTCGACTCAGATGATGGCAGCGAGTGGGCCTGATTGGACCAACAGAACCATTACCAGAACCGAGCCATTAGCAGCCGGTAGTTTAACAGACCTCTCTGCAGCTTCTCTACTGTTACCCACTCTTTACTCCATCCAGACAGTGTCTTGCCCACGACCAAAATCTAATAAATTAGCAAATATTCCCAAAGGAGTAAATCATGATAATCTAAATAAAATTAAAATAACTATAGTTGGGGAAAAAGTTAAAACGATTAAATGCGGTCTGTTTAACATAAGATCTCTTTCCTCTAAAAGTCTGCTAGTTAATGACTTGATTTGTGATAATCACATTGACTTGTTTTGCCTTACAGAAACCTGGCTGCAGCAAGAGGATTATGTGAGCATAAATGAGGCAACTCCTTCAAGCTATTTAAATTTTCACATCCCCAGAAGTTCTGGGCGAGGAGGAGGAGTAGCAACAATCTTCCAGTCTGACTTACTGATTACTCCCAAAACAATTAATACCTACAACTCTTTTGAACATTTAACCCTTAATTTCCCTGATCCAAATTTCAAGGCAAGAAAACCTCTTCTTTTTGTAACTTTGTATCGTCCACCAGGTCCTTACTCTGAATTTTTAGATGAGTTTTCAGAGTTCCTTTCTGATTTGGTATTAAATACTGACAGGGTCATCATAGTGGGAGATTTTAACATCCATGCTGACATTGAAGGCGATAGCTTAAGAGCAGCCTTTAATGCTATCTTAGACACTATTGGCTTTGTTCAAAATGTGAATAGTCCCACACATTCTCATCTTCACACTTTGAATCTTGTGCTGTGTGGTCGGAAAATTTAGATTTCTCTTATTTCATATACTAATTTATCGTGTTAACTGACAATAAAAGTTTTCACTCTGTCCGTTTCACCTGCAAGGCCACACAGCCCCCCTGAGTGAAGACATGTCTTCTTTTCAAAACAAGCCAGATTCTTTCTCAAGGTTTATTCATAACATGTTACTGTTAACCAAAGTGTCTGTAATTTGTTTTGACTCTGACTACTTTCCGTTCATGTAAGTAAGGAGAAACAAACACAGCTCAGATCAGAACAGGGCTGATTACCAGGGCTGTATGATGAACCGTTCTCTCTTTGCAAAGATCAAAATAAAGTGCTGACTGAGGGAAATCCATCGATCTCCATTTATTTAACTGGAGCAAATATTTGAATACTTTTCTCCCCACTACAATTTGGCGTTATCTGTAGGATTCTCCTGCGACTGATTTTTTTCCGAGGGCAGCGATTGTCAGAAGTGTCAGGTACCACCTGGAGGAGTCAGTCTTCCAGCCTCAATACCCTGTTTAGAAGTTTAAGGCAGTGAGGACTTCTGGCATCGAGGTCCCTGGAGGTCAGCAGGCGTACCATAAAGAATAAATGATGAACAGTTTAGTTTGTGCCTTCAAGTCGTTGCCCATAGGAAGACGTTACTGGATATAACCTAACGGAATATCTTCAGAACGGCTCCAAATGACACTAAACTAATATGGGTGAGTAGAACATGATGGAATAACAGAAAATCAAGGACCAATGGAAAATAATATGCTGTTCCCCTTTAAGTGTGTCTCAGCCCCCCCTTCAGTGTCCCCCATATTGGATCAGTCCATTTGCTGCACATGTTCAGAAAGGTCCAAACAGACAGCAGCAAACCATTTGAAAACAAACCATGCAAAGAGCAGTGTTGCCAACTTAGCGCTTTAGTCGCTATATTTAGCCACTTTTCAGACCCCTCTAGCACTTTCATTTCTAAAAAGCTCCTAGCGCCAAATCTAGAGACTTTTTTCTGCTACTGGAGACTTTGGAGACAGCATCTAAAAGCAGCGAACTCTGCTCTCCAGAGCAAGTAGATTGGTAACCCCGCCTCCTGCTCTCCTCTATCTTGTCTGCTGTCATGATTCATGCAGCTATTAATTCATCCAAATGAAAAATGGAGAACAGAGAAGCAGATCATGGCTTGTCTACAGTGAAAAGAAGGACTGGGTTATTTACTTTGGCCTTTTTGGAAACACAGGAAGGAGCAATCAGCTAAGTGAGCTTAGTGCTTGGAAAAAATCTTTCATTCCTTTAGAGACAGCATGAAAAGTCAGCTGAGTACAAAACATAGAGAGGAAAACAAGAAGAAAAGGGACAAGAAGAGAGGGACACAACCTAGAACAGATAATGGATGTCTATTCTATTAACATTTCTCTATCTGGAGAATGGGTCTGTTTGATGTTCTCCATTTAGAGGGGCCCCTGCCTGTCTTTGCCCAAGGCCCCACATTTCCTAAATCCACCTCTGCCCCCCCCATTCCACTTCAACTTCCTCTGAGCTCGAGGAGAGGATGCACCATATTATAATTATTATTAAATTCATTGCAGAGAAACTTGCAGTCAATTAATGTGACATCATTAAAAATCACCATCAGCACCAATCACACGGTTCTGAAAACGTGTGATTGTGATTTTCTTTTCGTTGTGGATTTTTGCAGTAGAGGATAATGAGGATCATCATTGGTTTGTTCTCTGCTTCCTCAGCATCTCTTCATCCATTCCTGAGATAAGAAGTTTGTTTTGAAGTTGTCAGATTTACTGCTGGAAGTTTTGATTCGATTTGATGAAAATTAAAAGCCTCTCAGTATAAAATAAATATTTTGATGAAGATGAGAAATCTGCTTCCTGGTCTGTTAAAGGGCCGATAGTTTGCATCCAATCATTTAATTAAACGCTTTTAGTTTTCTGGAATATTTCAGAATGATGCTCTAATCTGTAGTTATTGATCTGTTGTTGCTATATTTTAATTTGATAAACAGAATATTCTTAACGTTCTTTTCCTGTTTGGTGCGATTCCAGATGTTGAGCTGGCCGCAGCAGAGCGAGGAAAAGCTCGGCTCCGTATTTTGGCGGCGGTGGATGTGGGAGAGATCTCATTGGTTAACCTGACAGAGCAGGACGTCCGTCAGCCGAGCAGAGGATGTGGAATCCAAAGGTTTCATTTTGGTCGATCGTTTCATATCAAACAATCAGAGCATCAGGGCGGTTGCTAGGAAACGCACCCGCCGCCTCATGATGAGGATTTTTCCACCATGTTTAGAAAATTCCTCCAACATTTCAGAATAAACGAGATAAAGCAGGAAGTTGAGTCGATGACTGAAGCTGAGATCAGAGACGACAGAAGCGGACCGAAGCACAGAACCCTGATCAGAACCTCCAGCTTCCTGGATCAGAACTTACTGTTCCTGCTGGTCTTCAGCTTAGACAGCAGCTTCTGAGTGGACAGCAGGTCTCCAGTCTTCACAGCCTGGAGGAGCTCCTGCTCCTTTCCCATGCTCCTCCTGCTCCTCCTCCTCCTGCCCTGGGAACCGCTCCTCTTCCTCAGAGCTTCATCCTGAGCTCCAGGAACCCACCTCAGGTTCTCAGTTTCTCCATCAGCAGATGTTCTCAGGAGGAGCTGGAGGTCCGGGGAGGAGGTGATGGCTGAGATCCTGAGGAGAGAAAAAAAGAAGAGTGAAGATGAGGATGATGAAGGAATCTCAGTCTGATGGATGGATGGATGAAGGATGGATGGATGGATGGAGGGATGATGGATGGATGATGGATGGATGATGGATGGATGATGGATAGATGAAGGATGGATGGATGGATGGATGGATGAAGGATGGATGAATGTATGGATGGATGAAGGATGGATGATGGATGGATGAAGGATGGATGGATGGATGATGGATGGATGGATGATGGATGGATGATGGTTGGATGATGGATGGATGAAGGATGGATGGATGATGGATGGATGAAGGATGAATGGATGGATGGATGATGGATGGATGAAGGATGGATGGATGGATGGATGATGGATGGATGAAGGATGAATGGATGGATGGATGATGGATGGATGATGGATGGATGGATGAAGGATGGATGGATGGATGAAGGATGAATGGATAGGGGTGGGTATTGCCAAAGAAGTCACGATTCGATTCGAATCACGATGCATCATTGCGATGCATTGCAATATTTTATCCTCCATGTTTTGTTTTTGAATGCCTCGGCACAGTATCCCGCGGCCGGAAATGCTTGTGACACAAGGCAGCGTGCGTCAACACATTTGCAGCGACATCTACTGGACTGGAAGTTGTATTACACTTGTTTTTGGCTGATGTTCGCCAACCATTCATGTAATTTTATTTATTCATTTTTTTAAATTAATAATCGATTCTTGGCATCAAGAATCGATGCAGTAGATCACGAAAATTAGAATAACGATGCATCATCATGACGATTATTTTGCACACCCCTATGAATGGATGGATGAAGGATGGATGTAGGATGGATGGATGAAGGATGGATGAAGGATGGATGGATGATGGATGGATGATGGATGGATGGATGATGGATGGATGGATGATGGATGGATGGATGATGGATGACGAATGATGGATGGATGAAGGATGAATGGATGGATGATGGATGGATGAAGGATGAATGGATGGATGATGGATAGATGATGGATGGATGGATGAAGTATGAATGGATGGATGAAGGATGAATGGATGGATGAATGGATGGACGATGGATGGATGAAGGATGAATGGATCCAAAGGATTTAAATCTTAATAGATTCCACTTCTTTTGGCCCCTCGGGGCCCCCATAGTTAGACCCCCCACCCCAGGAACTCTGCTCTGCTCTATAAACAGTCCAGCTGCTGGTTCTGGTTCTGCTGGTTCTGGTTCTGCTGGTTCTGTTTCTGGCGGTTCCAGAGCAGAACTCCATCTAGATCTGGTCCAGGTGGTTCCGGTGGATCCAGCCTCTACAGGCTGTTATGTAACGGAGCGGTTCAGTCATCCAGACAGGCGGGATCTCCTTCCAGAACCCGAATCTTCTGGTTCCGGTTCTTTCTCCCAGAGAAGCAAATGGACCCAAAACAGGAAAACTTTCACTTTTCTGACTTTAACGCAGCGGAGAAGCTGGAAATCTCCACCCGGTCCGAGCACTTAAACACACCATGCAGGCTCCAGCCGCCGACCTTCGGACCGAACTTAGAGCCGACCCGCAGAGCACCTTTCCCCGATATCAGAGCGACACGAACCCCCTCCCTCACCGAACCCAGATCCCTCCCTTACCGAACCCAGACCCCCTCCCTCACCGAACCCAGACCCCCTCCCTCACCGATCGGTGAAACTTCCAGTCCTCCGAACTCCAGCGGAGGATTTAGGAAAACTCCTCAAGGAGCTGGAAAAGTGGCGATTTTCCCAGAGTGGATATTCCTGAAAAGTTTTCCTGCGCCTCAAACGGATCCGGGACTCTCCAGGTTCTAGAGCGAAGGTCCGGTTCTGCTCCTTTAGACGGGTCCGGTTGGCCGCGCTTCTCCAGCTTTCCCTCTTTTCCCTGAATGCCACATTCTGGAGTCTCCCGAATTTACTGAAGCTGTCAAGGTCCCTTGAATGCAGCACCATCATCCGCATCAGACCTTCAAAATAAAAGCGCTCCTTCAGAAAAAGCCGAGGAGCTTCCATTCTGCTTTGAAGTGATCCAGTATTTCCTCCATCCGTGGATGTTCTGACCCACTTCCGGCCCAGAGGAGCTGGGCTAAACTAAATTAAAATCATTTCAGAACAAACATTTCAGAACAATCATTTCAGATAAACAAGAAAAGCTGACATAAGATATCACTGAGTCACCAAGATCAGAACCTGAAGCACTTCCTGTCTGCGGTGGTCAAACACTGCTTCAAACAAACTGCGTCAGTATTATCAACACATTCTCACTCCCAACTCGTCACATATTGACATTGGGGCCTGAACATTCCCACAGTATCCGAACAGCCCAGCAGGAACCTGGAGAAGGACCCAGATCCTTCTGCTGAAGAAGCTGGAGGACAGACATCTGGCTGCCTGGACCATCCTGTACCAGAGCTGCTTCTCTGTAGCCCAGATCAGGCGCCTCTGCTGCTGTTTCTGGTTCTAAAGTGGCCTGACCTGGGGAATGCGGCACCTGTAGCCCATTTCCTGCACATGCCTGTTCACGGTGCCTCTGGATGTTTCTACTCCAGACTCAGTCCACTGCTTCCGCAGGTCCCCCAAGGTCTGGAATCGAACCTTCTCCACAATCTTCCTCAGGGTCCGGTCTCCTCTTCTGGTTTCTGCCACTTTTTCCTTCCCACTGAGGTGCCTTGATGCAGCAGCACTCTGGGAACAGCCTATTGCTTCAGAAATATCTCTCTGTGTCTGAGCCTCTTGCCTGAGGGGGTCAATGATGGCCTTCTGGGCAGCAGGCAGGTCGGCAGTCTGACCCATGATTGGGGTCTGAGTGATGAACCGGGCTGGGAGTTTTAAAGGCCTCAGGAATCCTCTGCAGGTGTTTAGAGTTAATTGGTTGATCCAGATTATTAGGTGCATAGCAGCTCCTTTAGAGACCTTTTCATGATATGCTCATTTTGTGAGATAGGAATGTTGGGTTTTCATGAGCTGGATGCCAAAATCATTCATATCAAGACAATAAAAGACCTGAAATATTTTAAATTAGTGTGCAATGAATCTAAAATATATGATGGTTCAAGTTTTATTTTTACATTATGGAAATTAATGGACTTTATCACAATATTAAATAAATATTTATCTATATATCTAACCTTGTTCAATAACCCTGTATAATATTCCTAATTAGCTGTCCCATGTGGAACCACTGTGTGTACTGTATATATCCCATCATGCAACTTTTTCTTCCTTTGGCACTTTCTTCTTTTTTGACTATTTGAACTAATGTAACGAGTAAATTTCTCCACTATGAGATCGATTAAATTCAATCAACCAATCAGTGAACAGCTGAGAGCCTCCTGACCTTTGGGCCTAACCAGCTGCTCTGCTGAAGCCGCCTCCTCCAAAGACGACCCGGTCCACTCAGAACTCTCTCCTGGACCTCTGCAGTTTTCTTCACCAATATGAACTCAGACTGGGTATCTGAACTCTGTTGGATATTCTTTGCTTCATGACCAACAATAAAAAATCCTCTTCTTAGCCAGGCTTTTATTTTGAAAGCCTGTGTGTTTCCTGTTTTGTTCTCTCAGCAGAGCTCTGATGAACCCTCAGCCACCTTCCCACCACCTCCCTTCAGAACAACTTTCCTCCCAGTTTTCAATGAGAAACTATGATACGTCAGTGAAGAACAAACACTTGGTTTAACTTTGGTCTCATTCCTGTGGAAAATGTTTAGGAAAGAGCGAGGAATGTTGGAGATAAAGAAGTTTATATATATTTAGCTTTATTTTAACATCTCATCTGAAACATTTTTATGTCAAAACTGTAATTTCAGAACCAGAGAAAACAACTGATTCCTAAAATCCAAATTTAGGAATCAAACCATGAAATAATAAAGAAAAACAGGAAGGATGTTTAGAACATCCTGAAACCATCAAGGAACCTGGAGGAGCATCAGAGAGAGGCGGTACCATGGTCTGGGTTTGGATCGTCTCCTCTGGGACGATAGGAAGTGGCACCATGGTCTGGGTTTGGATCGTCTCCTCTGGGACGATAGGAAGTGGTACCATGGTCTGGGTTTGGATCGTCTCCTCTGGGACGGTAGGAGGCCGTACCATGGTCTGGGTTTGGATCGTCTCCTCTGGGATGGTAGGAGGGTAGGAGGCGGTACCATGGTCTGGGTTTGGATCGTCTCCTCTGGGACAGTAGGAGGCAGTACCATGGTCTGGGTTTTGATCGTCTCTTCTGGGACGGTAGGAGGCGGTACCGTGGTCTGGGTTTGGATTGTCTCCTCTGGGACGGTAGGAGGTGGTACCATTGTCTGGGTTTTGGATCGTCTCCTCTGGGAAAGTAGGAGGCGGTACCATGGTCTGGGTTTGGATCGTCTCTTCTGGGACGGTAGGAAGCGGTACTGTGGTCTGGGTTTGGATCGTCTCTTCTGGGACGGTAGGAAGCGGTACTGTGGTCTGGGTTTGGATTGTCTCCTCTGGGACGGTAGGAGGTGATACCATTGTCTGGGTTTTGGATCGTCTCCTCTGGGAAAGTAGAAGGTGGTACCATGGTCTAGGTTTGGATCGTCTCCTCTGGGACAGTAGGAGGCGGTACCATGGTCTGGGTTTGGATCGTCTCTTCTGGGACGGTAGGAAGCGGTACTGTGGTCTGGGTTTGGATTGTCTCCTCTGGGACGGTAGGAGGTGGTACCATTGTCTGGGTTTGGAACGTCTCCTCTGGGACGGAAGGAAGCAGTACCATGGTCTGGGTTTTGATCGTCTCTTCTGAGACGGTAGGAGGCGGTACCATTGTCTGGGTTTTGGATCGTCTCTTCTGAGACGGTAGGAGGTGGTACCATGGTCTGGGTTTGGATCATCTCCTCTGGGACGGTAGGAGGTGGTACCATTGTCTGGGTTTTGGATCGTCTCCTCTGGGACAGTAGGAGGCGGTACCATTGTCTGGGTTTTGGATCGTCTCTTCTGAGACGGTAGGAGGTGGTACCATGGTCTGGGTTTGGATCATCTCCTCTGGGACGGAAGGAAGCAGTACCATGGTCTGGGTTTGGATCATCTCCTCTGGGATGGAAGGAAGCAGTACCATGGTCTGGGTTTGGATCATCTCCTCTGGGACGGAAGGAAGCAGTACCATGGTCTGGGTTTTGATCGTCTCTTCTGGGATGGTAGGAGGCGGTACCATGGTGTGGAGGAGGGTGTATGCTGGACTGACCCATCACCAGCTGGGTTGTTGGAAACGACCCACCCTAAGGTGACATTAGGAGCAATAATGAACATATTGTTTTATTCTAAAATCCTCAGTTTGCTTCCTGTAATAAAACTGTTTTCAGTCGACTGTTGAAATCTTACATGATCCTCAGATTTTACTTCATGTTGATTTTCACACTCAGCACAGGTTTAATGAAGTGAGTAAAGAGAAGAAAAACTAAATCCCTCATCCTCACCTCTTTGGTCAACTTCCTCCTCCTCAATCTCTCTGGAACAACCAGAGCACCTTCCGGTTGTGAAGCTCCTCCCACAGGCTGCCCTCCATCTGCAGGTCATGGTTGGCAAAGAACCTCAGAGGCCTCGGCACCAAGTCGTAGTAATGATCAGAGAAATCGGCGTAGTTCCTGGTGATGAAGCCGTAAGCAGAAACCTGCAGACAGAAACTGGTTTAGATGTGTGGTCCGTCTGAAGGTCCCATCCCTAAAATCTGGATCAGGTTCTTCTTCCAGTTGGATGCTGTTAGATGAGCAAACTAACAAATTTTGACCTTTTTCAGTTTTTAGTTTCATGTAACGATCAGGAAACTATCCCAGCATGTTGCTGATATATGGACTAAACCACAGAGGACCAACAGTGAACTGTGAGGGACACCAGAACATGTCGTCCAAATAAAGCTGAGCTTTCAGAGGTTAAAAAACTGCTCCTGTCAGGGTTTGGTTGAGGTTTTAAGGACCCAAATGCAGAGGCGAGGAGGCAGAGGTGAGTTGTTGTAGTTTTATTGGAGTTCTACAGGCAACCAAGGCAGGAATCCAAGAATCCAACATAAAAACGCAAAACAAGTCAGAAGCATGGAGACATCAGGGAAAACATGCATGAGGGGCCGGGGAAAAACCAGGAACCAACACTGAGGAACTGACCAGGGAGAGTTTATATGGGAGACTGAACAGAGACTGGACTAATGAGCTGATTGGGAGCAGGTGTGATCAGAGGATTCTAGAAGGAGCTAGGAGAAAAGGAGACCAACACAGGAGGCCAACAGAGGCTGAGCAAGAAAAACCTAAGACCTCAAATATATCCAGAAAACACTAAAAAAGCAAGAAAACAAAGAAAAAACTGGATCAACGTGAAACTGAACCAAAACTGTGACAGATCCTTTAAAATCTGAATATGAATCTGCTTCAAAGATCTCCACTGCTTCTGAAATGTTCCAGATTTGATTTAATCAAACATTAAAGTTTATAAACAGAATAAACCAGGATCTACGGCTGTAATAAATCCCTAAAAACAGATGATCTCCAGGCTGTGGAGCTGTGGTGTGATGAAAGGAGGAAGGTCTTCAGGTATCTTCTCACCTACAGCGCCTCCCTCAGCAGAGCTAACCCGGTTTCAGATTTTTTGAAGCAGCATCTGCTGCTGCATTTCTGAGGTATGTAATAAATCTCTGCATTTATGGAAAGGATAGATTCATTATTGAAGGTAAAGGTTGATGGTAAACCGTTGGACTCGGCGTTACCTGGTCACAGGTGTGTAAGGCCGTCAGCAGCATCAGACCCCCGGTACTCGGCATGTACAAGTCCCGAGTGTGGACGTTGGTCATCAGAGGAGACATCAGGAAACTGGAAAACAAAGAGAGATCAGGTTTCCTTCTACAGGTCTGACTTTCAGCTCCTCCCACATCCAACCGTTTCTGCTCACCTGTGGGTCACGTAGGAGATAAACTGGGGGTGGAGCATCTTGAAGTTTCCAGGTGGTTTGTGGCCAAAGTACTCCCATGGTCTGTGGAGTCGATAAATGAAAGGTTTGGATAAAGAGCAGCGTCTCTTTTTAAGGAGCAGATTCAGAGGTTAGTTCTGGTCGTTCTCTCTGTCTGATAAATCAGGATAAATGGATCATTTTGATTCAGAGACCAAGTTTGACCAAAAAGACATGAACAAAATCTAGAATAAGAATTTATCACTTAGTAAAGGTCTCCTGTCTTTTGTTCTACGACTGTTTTTCTCTTTTCTGGGAGGAATGACACCTACATACTCAGGAAGATGCAAAAATATTATTTAATGTATTTTAGTAAATCCAAAAATAAATAAATAAAAAGTCTAACTACATGTTTATGTGTAGAAGATAATTAATAATTAAACCCATGAATTATTCAGGTATCTGTTGAATAATCTCAGCCAATGAACATTTTCTCAGCTTCTGCAGAAAAAGCTGAGATACTTTGAGGCTATGCTGCCATCTGGTGGTGGAAAAGGGAACAGTAAGTAACTGCATAAACAGATTCAGCTTCTCTTCCACAAACAGCAGCAGAACAATCATAGTCAGAATAGTTGCTTTTTGTACTTTAAGCTGCTTTTACTTCGTTTTTAACACTTTTACTCAGAACACTGGAAAGGAAAGGAAACACCTTCAGAAATACAGACATGGGAGGAAGAAGAGTCAGTGAGGATGAGGAAGATTAAAGGCCATGGTGTCCCTTATTATCATTTCTGAAAGGTGGCAACACTAATCAGGATACAAATTGATAAAGAATTTGCTGAAATCCTGCTTTTGTGCTTAAACTGTCAGTTTGGTTACTGCATCTGGATCTTAGCAGCAGTGGTTGGCTTAAAAACTGACCATAAATTAAAGGACTTTGTTATAGTTAAAAAACATATTTTCATTATAATATCAATAGAAATGCTGAAATTATCAAGCCTGCCTTGTTAATCCAGTCTAATATAATAATTGATCATTAGTTTATATCAGTGGGTCACATGACCTAAAAGCTGTTGGAAACAAACTCTGAGGAGAAAACCATTAAAAACTACAAAATGCATCTAAAAATGCTTCCGGTTGACCAGCTGACTACCTGCTGGATCTTTGTGTCCCGACCAGATTTGCCTCCTGACCACCGAACCTGCCCTGGTCCAGTCGGTCTGCTGCTCTGAGATTGGAACCTGGAACTGTGACCGACTCAGTCCAGGATCGTCCTTCGACCCCTCACCTGCTCTCTGACCATCGACCCCGTCCCTGACCTCATCTTTGGCTTCGCTCTAAGGCTCATCCTGCTGATGTTTGACCTCCTGCCCGTCCTCCTGATACCCCTGAATCTGGGACTCTCTGAGCCAACCGCCACCCGGGTTTGCAGGCCACCAGATGGGATCTACCTCTAAACCTGGACTAGAACTGGGTATTAGGACCAGGTTAGTGACCTACATGTTTGTGAGCAAAGACTTCCAGCTAAATGAGGTCACTAACCTGTTGTCCCCTGCTGTACAGGTTCCCGCTGTAGACGCTGACCCCACCTGCTCAGTTTCTGCTCTTAATAAACTGTAAAACCTAAACTGTTTGTCTTCCTGGAATACTGGGTCCACATGAGCCAATCATCAGAGGACTTTACCACAAAGCTTTACACTCATTCATTCACTGATGGTGGCAAAGCAGCCACAGTGGCACCACCTCTGATCACCATCAGTAGGCGCTGCAGGTGAAGTATCTTGCACAAAGACACAGCACTGAAAGCCAGAGCCAGGGCTTGAACCGACAAATATAATATATTCTAATATATTTTATGAGGAAGTATGGGTCTGTACCTAAACGATCAGAAGGACCAACTGAAGACCTCAGTGTTCAGTCATCCACACGGCTGAACCTTCATCCTCCGATTCCAGATCTCAGACCTTCTCCCTGCTCTGCAGCTTCACATCCAGCAGAGGGAGCCAGAGCCCAGGAGCTGAAAGGTTCTGTCTGCTCCAGGAAACATGGCCTCCCTGTGACTCAGGTGTGTGCTCAGAGAAGCTCACCTGTCTCCTTGGTCTCTCCCTGAGGCAACGCTTCGACCCCGAACAGCAGCCGCCATCATCACGTAATCTCGGATGTCTGATGGGATGAAGATGTATCTGATCTCCTAGAAAGTCATGGAGAGATCATCTGGATGGTGGAGGAAGATCAGCCTCTGAACAGGTCTGGATCTCTGAGTGTTCCTAACCGGGCTCTGAGGAATTCTGGTGAAACCGTCTGAGCGGTACCAGATCAGGGCGTTCTTCATGGTGTTGGTGGTGAAACCATAGAATGAAGTCTTTGTCCCCACATCGTCTTCAAACCCTCTGATCACCGCTCCGTTCATCCTGGTAACAGAGACAGTAAAGGGTCCAGAAGACGGATCCTGGACCTGGAAGTTCTGCAGAACATTCTGCTAAATGTGTCCCAGTTTACATCTGATGGACCTGCTGGTCTGAAGGACGTTCAGGAAAACAAACCAGGAAGACTCTACTCTACTCTACTCTACTCTACTCTGCTGTACTCTGTTCTACTCTACTCTACTCTGTTCTACTGTACTCTGTTCTACTCTACTCTACTCTACTCTACTCTGTTCTACTCTACTCTACTCTGTTCTACTCTACTCTACTCTGTTCTACTCTACTCTACTCTGTTCTACTCTACTCTACTCTGTTCTACTGTACTCTGTTCTACTCTACTCTACTCTACTCTGTTCTACTCTACTCTACTCTACTCTGTTCTACTCTACTCTACTCTGTTCTACTCTACTCTGTTCTACTCTACTCTGTTCTACTCTACTCTACTCTACTCTGTTCCACTCTACTCTACTCTGTTCTACTCTACTCTACTCTGTTCTACTCTACTCTGTTCTACTCTACTCTGTTCTACTCTACTCTACTCTACTCTGTTCTACTCTACTCTACTCTGTTCTACTCTACTCTACTCTACTTTACTCTACTCTACTCTGTTCTACTGTACTCTGTTCTATTCTACTCTACTCTACTCTACTCTACTCTGTTCTACTCTACTCTACTCTGTTCTACTCTACTCTGTTCTACTCTACTCTACTCTGTTCTACTCTACTCTACTCTACTCTACTCTGTTCTACTCTACTCTGTTCTACTCTGTTCTACTCTACTCTGTTCTACTCTACTCTACTCTACTCTGTTCTACTCTACTCTACTCTGTTCTATTCTACTCTACTCTGTTCTACTCTACTCTACTCAGTTTCTATTCTATTTCTATTGTTCCCTAATTCTTATTACAGGAAGTCTCTACTCTACTCTACTCTACTCTACTCTGCTGTACTCTGTTCTACTGTACTCTGTTCTACTCTACTCTACTCTGTTCTACTCTACTCTACTCTGTTCTACTGTACTCTGTTCTACTCTACTCTACTCTGTTCTACTGTACTCTGTTCTACTCTACTCTACTCTACTCTACTCTGTTCTACTCTACTCTACTCTACTCTGTTCTACTCTACTCTACTCTGTTCTACTCTACTCTGTTCTACTCTACTCTACTCTGTTCTACTCTACTCTACTCTACTCTGTTCTACTCTACTCTACTCTGTTCTACTCTACTCTGTTCTACTCTGTTCTACTCTGTTCTACTCTACTCTACTCTGTTCTACTCTACTCTACTCTACTCTGTTCTACTCTACTCTACTCTGTTCTACTCTACTCTGTTCTACTCTACTCTACTCTACTCTGTTCTACTCTACTCTACTCTACTCTACTTTACTCTACTCTACTCTGTTCTACTGTACTCTGTTCTATTCTACTCTACTCTACTCTACTCTGTTCTACTCTACTCTACTCTGTTCTACTCTACTCTACTCTGTTCTACTCTACTCTGTTCTACTCTACTCTACTCTACTCTGTTCTACTCTACTCTACTCTACTCTGTTCTACTCTACTCTGTTCTACTCTACTCTACTCTGTTCTACTCTACTCTGTTCTACTCTACTCTACTCTACTCTGTTCTACTCTACTCTACTCTGTTCTATTCTACTCTACTCTACTCTGTTCTACTCTACTCTGTTCTACTCTACTCTACTCTACTCTACTCTACTCTACTCTGTTCTACTCTACTCTACTCTGTTCTATTCTACTCTACTCTGTTCTACTCTACTCTACTCTACTCTACTCTACTCTGTTCTACTCTACTCTACTCTGTTCTACTCTACTCTACTCTACTCTACTCAGTTTCTATTCTATTTCTATTGTTCCCTAATTCTTATTCTATTCTGTTTCTATTCTAGTTGGATGCCTCATCCAGGGGTAGACCCTGAGGACTCTGAAGGTTTCAGCTTCTCACCTGAAGACCAAATCATGGCCGTCGATGTTCTTTCCTTGCCTGGATCCACGGAGGATTCCTCCGTTTCCCACCACGGCGCAGCGGACACACCTGCCAGGTGGTTCCCGCTCAAAAAGCCGGCGGCTTTTGAGGAGGGAGAGGCTTTCCCGGAGGACTGAGGAGGAAGAGGAGGAGGAAGGGGAGGAGGAGGTGGAAGAGGAGGAGGAAGAGGAGGAGGAAGGGGAGGAGGAGGGTAGAGTCATTTCAACCTTCAAATATATCCTGTCCTTTAATGGATGAGGTTGGGTTTCATTTATTGTCTTTTCATTTAGGTTTTTTTTCAGAACCTTAACTTGGTAAAATATAAAAGGTTTTTTTATTAAAAAGCATTTTTTCCTTGAGCCCGCCCCCCCCACATGATGAGGAGAATAAAACCTGGAGCCCACCTTTAGCAGGAAGTCCCTTCCAGCCGTATGGAGGTGGTCGTCTCTTCAGCTGCTTCCAGGACGATGGCGTCAGACTTCCAGCCCACTGAAGGACCGGCAGCGAGAAGTTGAACCTCCACCAGAGGAAGGGCTCGTTCCTTATGGTGGACCTCAGGGAACACGCTGCCTCAGTCTGCAGGGAGGGAAGCTCATCAGAGACCTTATCTGCTGCTGCTGATCCACACAGAGACTAATGATGAGGCCTGGAGTCCCGCCTCAGACCGGCCCACTGACACCATGACCCGTTATTATTAAAAACGCCGTCACTGGTAAACGCACAGGTCAGGTCTTCTACATCACATTGTTCAATAAAGGCTTTTAATTCAGAGTATTCGCTGTCTGTGATTTAGAGTTTTCTCAGCAGTTCATCAGTGTGATGGCGGTGGGGAAGAAGCTGCTGCTCATTATTTAATCTGTATAACATGAACTGATGCGCCGCTAAATGCAAAGACCGGATGATTAACATGTTCAGTGGTTTGCAGGAAAAGTTCAACATCTTTCCTTTCCCTTCTTTCAGTTTTAAACCTCGAGCTCGTTCTAATAAAAAGCTGCTGATTTTGCAGCGTCTGTTTCCACAGATTTCCTCCTTTAGATCTGGTTTCTCTGTGACGTCTTTGCTGCTTTTACCCTCCATGTGATGTCAGCCTCCAGGGCAGGCGCGCTGGAAGCTGTTTCAAGCGAGGGGGGCTGATGGCTGGGTTGGAAAACACATGACGTCATTATGTTGAGGGCTGTGGCTGACGTTTTTAACATAATATTGTAGGCCTACATTTGTCGCAAAAAACTTCCATTTAAAATGCATCGGAACAAAGCATGAACATTTTAAACTTTATTTCTTCTCTTTTAATCATTCAAAACAAACAACAGCTCCCAATCAACAGGATCAGGAATACTTGAATAAAACATGGCCTAAATATAACCTAAACTGAGCATTGAACGTCTTGAAAGTCCATTCGACTATGGATATGGGGGAATGATTTCATATCTGAAACAAAAAACACACACACACAAAAAATTAACTAATTTAATATTTATATAATATTTAGTGATATGCAGCCTTATTCTAGCGTAGACTTCTTCAGCCACAGGACTAAGACGAACAGGCACATAAATAACGCTAAATGCGGCAGTATAGGGGAATTAAAACCATTTCTTACCTCGAAATAGTCAGAAATACGTTTCTGCTGCCTATTGCTAGCCAAGCCTAAACGAATGTGAGGTGGTGGATGCTTCTGGGGGAGTAGCCTAGTTTTTTTTATGAAATATCAAAATAATGAATCATTTGTTTATATCTTATACACAGCCCATTATTTTAATCCCATATCAAACACAGTCTTTTAAAAAATAAATACATAAATAATTTCATGTTTTTAAGTACAATATCATTTTACTCCACAGCCCCCCACCATGGGGGGCTGATGCTATAACGAGGGAGGCTGCAGCCCCCACAGCACCCCCCTTCCCGTGCCACTGCTCCAGGGATGGAGGTAGCAGCAGCAAAAATAAGACCGCCCTCACCCCGGGAATAGTCCAGATCCTCCAGATTAGAGGCACTCAGGCCTGGATCTTCACCTTCTAGCACCACAGAAGGTCCTTGGATCAGTGGGACTGATCCAGCACAGGTCTGGATAAAAACCATAGTCCTGGTTTAAATCAACTGGAGTCATTTTAGATCATTTTCACATGAATAAAAAGGAACATTTCCTGTTTCCATCCATTTATCGTCTGTTTTAGTGTCTTTATGCTACTTTAATGTTTCTTTTCTCATTTATTTAATCCGAGCTTCTTCGTTTTTGTTGGGATTTCTGTGGATCCTGTGAAAACTCACCTCCTCCTGCTGCTCCTCCTGAGCAGCTCCAGGCTCCTCCCATCTCACCTGATCTTCTCCTGGAGTCTCAGTGCTGCCCCCTGCTGCCTGTGAACTGATATTACAACACAGACGCGTTCAGAGCCTGAAAGGTTTCAGTCCCTAAAGTCATGAAACTTCTGGTCCCAGTCCCATCATAGTCATTAGAGGCTTCATTGATCATTTATTGATTCATTTAACAGTAAAAATCACTTTGATCTCTGAAGTCATAAACCTTTGAATCAAAGGAAAACAGTAAAAACTGAGTTTAGAAAAAGAAAAACAATCAATGAAATCTTTGTTCTTCTGTGTTTCAGCCTGCTGCCGGTTCTGATCCAGTCAGTGTTCTGTCAGGCAAAGGTTCTGATGGGACCATTAGAGGTTCTCAGAACCAAAGAGGAAAAAAAGTCCAAACACTTTCCTGGTCACAGGTTCGGACCTGCAGCCCGTAGCTTCTCTCATCCCTTTAAGGTTTCAGGGTTTAACAGAACCTTCACAGTTTCTCCAGAACCATCCAGACCTGATGGTTCTGTTCCAGATCCGGTCTACCTAGACTGGATCCTTTAAAGTCCTTGAAAATAAGGAGACCGAAAGAGTTTTGGCTGTGGATTCAAACAGGTCCAGTTCTGTGAAAACCAAAATTTTCCAAACTGTTTCTTTTTATTTCTTTTTCTTTATTTTATTATTATAAAGTGACCAAAGACTGATGAGAATCCAGAGAATAAATGTTCCAACCGCCGGGAGCAGGAACTAATAAAATCAAATGTAATGATAGAAACCTTAGTCAGTTAAATAACCTGCTGCTGTCATTCTGCACATCTCTGATGCTGCTGCTATTTTCAAATTACTGTAAAAATGTCCATAGCTGCATATTGGTTATTTATTCTCCAGTTTTATATTGTTAAAACACTTTACAGGATTTTATTGTTTTTATTTTAACTCTTCCCTATTATGTTATTCTTAGACATTTTTCTAAGGTCCTCATTTCAATAATCTTTCTGCTGCTGTAAATTTGCCCATTGTGGGACAATAAAGGGATTTATTCTATTCTAATTTATTCTATAAAAGGGGTAAAAACATATAAGTAAATCTAAACAATGTATGTATAACAAAAATTATCCTGAAAATCTCTAATATTCAACAACAAAAAATACTTAGTTAAGCAAATTATGCAAAATAGTAACTGAAAAATAAAGATTCCATCAGATTTAAAGTCCCACTCTGCAGATATATTAAAATTAGAATCTGATCACGGAGCAGCCGGCTTGCTTGGTCTCGCAATGAATCCTGGGATACCCGAGGCTACGGAGGATACAGCGGACCCGTTCTTCTAATCAGGCAGAAAGAAGGACGCATTAATCGGCCGCATAACGAGGAGTCCTAGAATCCGACCAGGCCTCGGCGCCGCGCTATGACATCATCAGCCTACGAATCTGGCCTTCAGAGGACGCAGCCCAGGAATTCGAACACAGGCTACATCTACTGAGGGCAATGAAGGAGATTGTGGGCGTGTCTCTCTCTGCACTCTGGGCTCTGATTGGTCAGAAACCAGCAGAGGGAGACAGAGAGGCCAATGGAGACACTGGTGAAACCCAAATGTTTGTTACTGGGTCAGAACCATTATCTGCGATACGGAGATTATCTGAGACACGGAGATTATCTGAGACACAGAGATTATCTGAGACACGGAGATTATCTGAGATATGGAGAATTTACAGTCGGAAGGAATTGAGGACCTTGAATCTTTTATTTAATGCAATTTCCAGGCAGCCGCCTGATCTGTAAACCATTAACCGTTTCCACCTGCCATCATGTGCTCTCTGTAGATGATAGACCTGACCTGATGTTTCTGTCCTTTTACATAGAAAGTACTCCTGGATCAGTGGCTTCCTTCTCTGTTCTCTCTGCTCAATCCTCCGGTGTGATGAAATGTCAGAAGGCCGCTCATACCGAGCCTGGTTCTACTTCTGATGGAGGTTAGAGAGAAGTTTCCTCTCCACTGTCACCAGATGCATGTTTAGAAGGATGGATTGCTGCTTTTATATCTCTGTATATAGATAATTTCCTTTAAGTGTTATGAACTGATACTGCATTAATAATCTTGCCTGGGTGTGCTTTGGTGGAGCACATGACCCATATATGGAGGCCTCCACGCAGCCAACACGGGTTCGAATCAGACCTGTGGTCCTTTCTTGCATGTCTCTCTCATACCTACTGTCCTGTCAGTCTGAAAAAACAAGCCACTACTGCTTTAACCCCCCCAAACAAATAAATAGTAAAATAAATAATCTCGACTGGATTAAATCAGACTGACTCAACAGGCTGATCCTTTATGTTCTCAATGCCTTCCTGTTTGTAACACGCAGTAAAGAAACCAACTGGTGAAAGTTCCTGGTTTGTTTGATTAAATCAATAAATCTGTAGGGATGTTTCCAAGTCTGAAGACGTTTCTCTTCCATCCAGGAAGATTTTTCATTTCAAAATGTCAGAAATAGCGTTTAGTTCCAGGTTTTATCCAGCAGCCCAACAAAGCCTGGTTTTAGTTTAGAAAACATGCAAATAGAAACGGATGAACGGGTCCCCCCCTTTGGAATGGGGGTCGTTTGGCTGCTTTGTTAGCTTAGACTGTAATAATAATAATAATAATAATCTATACTTATTATTATTATGCAATAAATATTTGACCTTAAAGGAAAAGTCAGCGAGGAATAATCAATGGATCATTATTTATAAATAAATCCAATACGTTCGCAAAGACTTAATGAATTTAGTGTTAATCAGTAAAAAAATAATAATTTTCATAACGATCACTGAGTCTGGGAGCGGCCATTTTTGCCCAAATATAGTAGCCCCTCCCTCCTGCCATCTTCCAGCAGTGACGTCACGGTGCGGTAAGCCTAGCGCCATTCTCCCCGCTTTACAAGCTAAATCAATGGGAACTACTAGACACATCTGCAATTAACAACAATTATTGAAGATTTCCAGAGGACTTCACCATTGAAATTCACCAGAGCTATAGTGAAACTGACAATGCCCACGTGCATGGCAGCTGGATGCTGGAATACATCGGGTAAAAGTGAAAAAAAGAGGTGGAGATGGATGAACTGGTCCATCAACTTTCTCTTCCTCGCCTAAGATTATGAGATTAAGATCATGACCAAAAGACAAAGCAAGGATGATCCTGACGGACAGGTCTGGGAGCTGCTTCATCCGGGGGGGGGGTATTCATCTGTCCAGTAAAACATCTCTGCTCTAAGGTTCCAGATTGATCATCTTCATCAGTTATTGACTAGTTTCTTCGATCAGAACAAACCGGCTCTATTTTCCAAGTTTTAATCAGTTTCCTCCAAAGGAAAAAACTTTCTGCCTGATTATTTGCTGAATCCATCCTGAGGATCCTGAGTCTGATCCTTTGTGGGAGACTAAAACCTGAAGCAGTGGAGCAGCAGTGGGTTGTTCCTGACCCCTGACTGTCTCCAGGTGTCCTACCTGCTGAAGCTCCTGTAGAAAATGAAGCAAACAAGGAGGGAGAAAACGGCCAGCAGCAGAAAAACACTCTTCTTAGAGGAGGCTCGCATTGTTCCCACCTGCTGCGGCTCTGGATTCCTGTCAGCCGACCTCAGGTTGGGCTAAAGTTCAGCTGCAGGTGGAGGAGGCGGAGCCTGTGATGAAAAAACTGTTCAGCCGTTCCTTCAGTCACACCTGAGAATGGAAGGAAAGAGAAACTCTCCTATTCCTGTTATCAGTTCTGCTGATCTGAGCAGCTGTTGTCCTCGTCTGTCCCTGCTCGCTCCTGTCTCTGTCCTCCTCCATCTGTCCCCCTAGAGACCCAAAGAAAACGTGTTATTCTGCCACATTTGGGAGGGTGGATGAAGTCCATCTTTATTTGCTTTTATTCACACACTGATTCTGTAAATGAGGCTGATTCTTCTGCAGCTGTCTGTCCTGCAGCATCTGGAGTTGCCTCTGACTGAAGACCCTCTGTTGGTGTTTAACTGATGAAGAGGATGCTCACTGCTGAAATAAATGAACTTTTCCATAATATTCTAACAGAATAGGAGCAAAAAAGAAAGCTAAGGCTGAATAGAGTTCCATCTTTTAAGCCTCAATGTTAGACGGACCTTCCACTAAATGCACAAAAGAAAGTGACCATAGGAGATGATAGAAACGTAGAGCAAGTAAATCAGAGCTTTTCTCTCAGCAGACAGAGCAGCGTCTGGATTATATCCATCTATGGATCTCCACCTCCATTTCTTCCCTCACTGAGGAACAGAAGCCCAGGATACTGCAGGCAGGAACTCTGCTCCAACCTGAAGGGGAACCAGCCTCCTTTTTCTGGTCCAGAACCAGAACCATGGCCTCAGACCAGGAGGAGCTGATTCTCCTCCTGGCTCTGGACCTCCTCCAAGCAGCTGAAGGTCTCTGCAGGAGGGAACCAGCAGAACAACGCCGCCACAGAAAGCAGGAAGGAGATCCACCGGCCCCTCGTGGTCAGATAATTTAGATTTCTCTTGTTTCATATATTTAGTTATTGTATTTATCCAATAAAAAAGGTATAAAATTTCACCTGCAAGGCCACTAAATGTCTGAGTGAGACGTGTTTTGCAAACAAGGAATATTTATTCCATAACCAGAAAGTCTTATTCTTTATTCAAAGTGTGTTTTTTTTGACTCTGACAGAAACTTCACATCTTTTTCCTCATTATAAGCAAAGGTAGAAAAACTGAGTCTAGATCAGAACAGGGCTGATTACCGAGCATAAGGGCTGCAGGATGAACGGTTCTCCGTTTATTTAACTGGGCTGAATCCTTGAATACTTTTCCCCACTGACCCCTGAACCGGACCCCCTCTGGTCCTTGGCTGGGCCTAGAAATCTGGTCCATCAATGTTCTGAGCAGAACCAGCGATGTGGACCACACTCCTGCTGTGCAGGTTAGTCAAGAAGTGAAAATGTTCTTCAGAAAATGAAACCGTCCACAGCATCAGATCCAGCTTTAGAATGAGGCTGGACCCAAAGCCTCCAGAAAACACCATCCAGGCTCCGACTGGTAATCTGGGATTTTCCCCGGTGGGCCGGTTCTAATCTCAGCGTGCGAGGACCGGCCCTCCTTAAATCATAGCGGCTCCAACTCTTCCTCTCCACCTGAAGCTCCTGTGACAGTAAATAACTGAAGGAGCTGAAGCATTAATCCAATGTTAACTCCCTAAATGATGCATGCAGCATATGTAGCTCTTCCTTGTCCATAAGGGTCGGTGTAGATGGAAAAATGCCAGGACTGAAAATCATTCCCAGTCCGAGTCTGACACCATCTACCAAGTTCGGAATAACGAGAGAAATAAAATGACTCAAACTAGAAGAAATTCAAAAAGCATTTGAAGAATATTATGCTACGATATAAACACAGCCTGACAAAATGGATAATAAGACAATTAAAACATTTCTTGCTTCTGTGGATCTCCCATCTATAGGTAGAGTTTAAAATGAAAAACATCAAAGAGCCAATAAGCCTCCTGGCTGTGATGGATTATTCCCTGAACGGTAAAAGAATATGAAGGAATCGTTGCTCCTGTTATTAAAGGCCTCATTCAACTAGTCCCTGAAAGGAGGAGATCTTCCACCATCATGGCGAGGGGCGTTTATCTCAGTCATACCAAAGGTGAGGAAAGACTAAAGTGACCCTAAAGGTTACAGGCCAATTAGTGTTTTAAATACAGATTACAAACTAAATACAGCAATATTAGATAAAGATTAAGGACTTTGATGCCTTCTTTGATAAATGAGGACCAGACAGGTTTCATTGGTAATAGACAAACACACGATAATATAAGAAGGGCCATAGATATTATTGATTATATAAGTAAAGCAAAGAGGAGCGCAGTGCTACTCAGCCATGATGCCCAGAAGGCAAATGATATGAAAGGGTGGGAGTTCCTTTTTCAGCTACCGTAATAAAGAGATTTGGCTTCTGTGATTTATTTATTCAGTGAAATCAATCTACTCCTCACCAACAGCAAGAATAAACATTATTGGGAACCTCTCAAACCAAATAACACTGCAAAGAGGGTGGGGCAGGGGTGTCCGTTCAGCCCACTACACTTTAATCTTTTTATTGAGCCTCTGGCTCAGGTTATCAGGGAGGAGACAGGGGGGTGGGGGGGGGGGGGGTGGTTGTGGTATGGCCTGCCTTGTTAAGTCATCAGTCATTCCAGCAGCAGAATGACACAGTTTATCTGTCAAAGGATTTATTTTACAGTAATAATGATAATATCCAAGTTTCCTGGAAATCACAGCTTTGGGTTGCTGATCAAACAACTTTACACCCATTGCTCCCACAGGGGGCGCCATATCCCTACCATATGCTGAGTTCCAAATGGCAAATCCTTTATTATTTCAGTTCATTTAGATTGTCAAATAATGCTATTTGATTGATCTTAAATCGTTGATATAATTGAATTATGAAACATTATTTATATTTTTGTGAATTGTTTGCTGCTGTGAAGCAAGAAGAGTCTGCAGATCGGCCCCTGTCCTCTGATTAAATAATAAAGGCCACTTTAGGTTTGATTATATTAATAAAATAAAATAAATTCTAAATCGATGGTCAGATTTGCCTTTGTCCATGCTAGGACGACTACATTTATTAAAAATGACTATTCTGCCCCATTTTTTATAGTATTTTCAAACACTTCCACTTTCTGATTCATTTTATGACACTTTGCTGTTTAATACATTTATTAGGAGTAATAGAAAAGCAAAAATAGAAAAGCGAGGCTCCGTTTAAGGCTCCTCTTTCAGCCTAATGAAAGAGGTGGACTTTAAGTCCCATATCTCAGATGCTACAATATGGCCGCCCAGCTAACATCAGCTACTCATTGCTTTAATCTGAGGACGCCTCCAGCTTAGGTTGACATCCAACAGCAATCTGCTCCAGATTTCCCCTTAAACACTTTTCTATATTATTCGGATATAAGGACACTAAAAAAAACTACAAAGAATCCTTTCTTAAAGAACACAATTATAATTTGGCATTCAGCACATAAACATGTAGGTGACCTTCCAGAGATATCGCCATATATGGGGTAATAAAAAGTTCCCCCCAGGGAAAAATGATGGAGGATTTAAACTATGAAAACCAAAAGTATTCAGAAAATTAAAGATCTATATGCTAATAGCAGGTTGCTTACTTTTGATCAGTTATGTAAAAAGTATTTAATCCCCCTAAAACATTTTTTTAAATACTTGCAATTGAAAAACTATATGACTTCAAAACTGAAATGAATAGTTGTCATTCGAACCTTAACCAAAATGGAAGAAGTGTGCATTGGGGATTTAAAAGGGAAAGGTTTCTATCAGTGTTCAACTTGATGATGCTTTTCTCTAAAGATTCAGCAATAGATAAGTTAGACGCTTGGAGAAGTGACACCTTTAAAGACATAAATGAAGAAGACTGGAATCAGGCCTGTTTAAAAGCACAAAAACAAACGATAAATACATGATTTAAACTTCAGCAATATAAATGGCTGATGAGAACCTATTTAACACCAATTAGGCTTCATCATATGTTCAGATATTCCAGATACTTGCACTAAATGTTTATCTGAAAAAGGAACTGTTCTCCATTGTTTGTGGAAAGGATGTTATTAGGTGTTTATCTGAATAGAGTAAAAGTCCCACTAGAGGTTAAACTCTGTCTTCTAGGAATACATCCAATAGAATTTAAAAAATCACAGAAGATAACAATATTGATAGATTACGAACTTCTTCTGCCAGAAGATCGGTGCTCTGTGCTGCAGGAGCATGTAAGCCCCCGAATGGGACTCTGGAGAAAAGAGGTTGCAAGTTCACTGAGACTGGAAAAACTAATATACACCGCAAAGGGCAAAGAAAGGAACTTTGAGAGTCTATGGGAGCCGAATATGAGGATTATAGGGACTGAAAGTGGAGTTTTGAACGGATGTCTTGACTTTGTCTTTTATTCATATAAATCTCCTCTTTTCTTCTTTTTTTTATGTCTCTGCCTTAATCTAAAGCGCATTGTATATTTTTGGAACTAGACAAATGCGTGTTTAAAAGCTGCATGAATGAGTGAATGTGTGTATAAATACATGTTACAAGGTTAAGTTTGAAATATTTGTTGTATTAAAAAAGAGAAAATTCAATAAAATATATTGGAGAAATAAACAAACTATTTCATTCACAGGTTAACTTGAAATAATCACATAATTAAATGCTTGATGTTTATGTTCCCCCTCAGCGTGCCGCCCTGGGCAGCCACTTTATATCCTTTGTGTTAAATGAATCATCTTTGATGGGATGATGTTACCTTCAAGCAGTGGATTAAATATCATTCAGCAGAGACTGCAGTTGCCCACAACCTCTTAGGGGCCCCAACACTGACACCTGGTGGGCCCCCTAAGCAACTGTAGACTAGGACGGCTCTTTGCAGATGTAATGGTGCGAAAATTCCTCCTAAACACAAATACTATACTGATACTGAAGTGACTGATCGCACCGTATTTATACGGCATCACATGGCAGATTTCACCATGATGGTGAGCCGTATAAACACGACACCAACAGCAAAGCAGACACTTTTACTTACTATGTTAATAACTGT